TTTCTCGCGGGGGCTGATTTGGTGAAATTTAAAATTAGGAGAGTCTCGTTCTTCTTGGCTAGCATTGGTTTAGCGTTACTAATGAAAGAGGAAGCGAAATTGAAAAGCGTCGGGTGACTAAAGTCCGCGCGGTTGTAATTCTGACGGGCGATGCCAGGGAAAAACTCGATTTTTCACGCTGCGTGTCGCTTTTTAATCAGAGCTGCAATCGTTCGAAACAATCAGTAAACAATTCCCCCATTTGTCCTTAAATTTTGAAATTTCGTCGAATCGAATACCATCGACTTTAATTAGCTGTTCTCGTGTTTTCTCTTGTCGTTCAAAAGCGACTGAAATTGATACGAGTGAAAGCCGTATCGGGTCATTTGAAAATTATTTAACAATTATTTACTAGAGTCAGCCGTGAAAAGTAAACAATTTTAGCACGGTGGATTGCTTGTTTCGCCTTAGGGATGCAATTTCGCAGCTTCGGCGGTGCAATTTGTCAAGAATTAAAGAGATTAAAGCGAACCAAATGGAATTCAGACGGGCAACCGTGGCAATTTTCGAAAACGGACGATGGCTCCGCGGTTTTCGAACTGAAATATCATCAAAATTGCTCGCTGGAAACTCGCGTTACCACGAGTCTCGCCAACTATCTCGAACTTTCCAATAACATCTAATAACATTTATTTATTATACCAATTGTTGCGTGCCGATCTGACCTCGTATAAGTAGCGTTGAGTAGTTCAACGTTAATGAAAGTCAGCTGGTTCAAGACAGAGTTGTTTTAGGGTTGGATTGGTAGATTGTCGTAAGAGAGAGTTTGAATTCGTAAATGATAAAATTTTGCTCCGGAATTTCTGTGCGCACTGCACGATTGCCAAAATATTAACCATCGTTTTTTTTTTCCTTCGTTTGCGTCCTGCGGTAGCTACAGTGCCTGGAGCTAGTTCCGCCCTTTAATCTGTATTTATAATATGGTTATTGGAATGAGTGATGTTTCTGTTGCTGTTGCTAACTGATGTGTAGTAGGGTTCGCAGGAAAAGTTTCAAAAAACCTGCGCGTAGTAACTGTCGTTTTCCTTGTACGTTGGTCTTATATAGCTGTTATGGGATTAGAGAGGTATGCTGGTTGGTCTTACATAGCTGTTACGGGATTAGGGAGGTATGCTAGTTGCTTCCAGATGTGAGCGAGGTCGGTCCCAGAAAGTAGTATTTGCACTCTCTAACGATTTTGGGATGTGTCCCTCGCAATATGTCTTGAATTTATGGATGTTGTAGAAAAGTTGCGATAAGGTCATTTACCGAGCTTTAGAACTAAGCGTCGAGCATGACGAGCCTTGGAATTGGTAGTCTAACCCAAACCTAACCCAAACCTAACCCAAACCTAATCCAAACCTAATCCAAACCTAACCCCGCCTTTATTGTGTTCGGTAAGGGCGAACACCAATAATATTTAGCCTGCCCCAGTGTGTTTATCAATTAGAATTGAAATCGTAAGTTCAATTATACTCTGGTGGAAAAAATCCGTTGTTTTAACTACTCTTACCAGACTGAAATTTTAAATTTTCAAGAAACTTCTACGTATACGTGTGTATAAGTAGAGTAAGTCCTTAATCTTAATATTGTGAAAACTGGATTTTCGTGTAATATTTTGCAACAAGTTGACTTTATTCGAAGGAAGAATAAAGCAACTATTAAATTGCAAATTGAACTTAATTAGAAACTTGTCGCATCCACTGAACAAACAGTGTATTTCGAACATATTTCACATATTTTTCGTACGCTAATTTGCAACCGGTGCGTTATTAGATTTTTAAATTTCCCACAACCGTATAAAAATCTAGTGACCGTAATGTAAATGTAATTCGAAAGATAGCTGCTGAAAAATTCCTTTAGCACTAATAGCAAAGTGACGAGTAATGAAGTAAACCGTTATTTACTCGCAACGTGGAAATAAGACAAAGTACACGCAAGTTAAATTGACAAATAAAAATAAACTCACGCTCGCCAACTGAAACGTTCGTACCGACAACCTTTTAATCTTCCGATAAATCTCACAAAAATTCTCCTTCTCATCCATTAGAGCAATCGTCCTTTCCTCGAAACGAGAGATAAAAGGCAGTGGACGCGACATAAATTTCCTCGGACGAGGATTATGAAATTCTGGGGTAACGGTTCCATAGTAAAGTCGATCGGCTGATCGCGTAAAAATGAAACACGTACGGTCGTTTGTTTCCCCCGGGAGTGGGAAAGGCCGCGCGCGTTTGCGGCCAGCATTCATTATCGTTGATTTGCATCCGCGAATGGCGAACTGCGCGGAAAGAAATCGCGGCTGCTGCTGTTGCGATCGTTACGTCAGCCCGATGCCTCGAATTAATGATTTAACGATGTAACAGTGTTACAACAGACAAAAAACAAAAAAACATCTCTTTCCTGCCGCGATAAATCATGCTAAATTTCTCTTGTTCCCACCTCGTTGTATTTTTCTTTTCCCTTTCAAAAATTTTGCACACAAAATACTGAAAAATGGAAAATAAGTATCTGACGTTTGTCTCAATTGTCTAAATTTCTAGCTTTTATTTATCGTCTAAGTTGTCTAAAATATCGATAGTGATATTGTAGGTGAGAAATTTGTTAAAAAGTTCTTCCAAAAACGAAAGAAATTGTCAGCGCATCTAACAAAATTTGGAGAGAAACAAAATTTTATCCAATATTGTCTCGACAATATTGTTTCTACCGTTTACCTATCGTCACAGTTAAGTCCAAAATACCCAAAACACCTCAAAAAGGTAAATACTCAAGGTGAAAGTCTCACTTGTTAAAAAATCTTCACACGACTAGACTATGGAACATGTCCAATGTTTCACAATTGGAAAAATTACAAATAACAGTAAGAAACGAATCTGAACCTCTAAATTTGAAGAAAAATTCATTTACTTGTCAAGAAACTATCGCGAGAAGGGAATACTGTAACAATCCTGCATTCGCGCAGAAATGAAATGAAAAACGCCTCTCCAGTTCAGCTGGATCATCCAAATACTCAATTTCAGTGTACGAGACAACTCGTACGAGGGAAATCCTCACGAGAGGCAACAACAGCAATCTAAAATACCAAGCCTGTCCAGCCAAGCAGAGTTCGCGAAAATTCCGCCCTAGCCCTGAGAATCAAATTCCGCTAACGACAAGATCTATCTCTGGACAGGGCACGTTGCGAGATTCCATGGATTTCGGAAACTGGGCTGTCGCTTATTGGTGCACGTGCAATTCTGTGCGGCAGTGGCAGGCAACGGTTCGTATCGATCCCACAGGACCAGCACAGGTTTGCTCTCTCTCCCTCTCTCTCTCTCTCTCTCTCTTTCTGTCTTTCACTCCACGGTGGCTTTGCATTCTGTTTTCATCTGTAAGTCAGGGCTACATTTCGTACGTGTCCTTCTCTCGGCGTACTATACCAGTCGCGCTGGATCCATTCTTGGACACGGGAACTGGATGCCACGGACGCGTGCTACGACGTGCCCAACGATCTAGGGATTTTCGCGGTCTCGGGCCACGACTGCGTTTTAACCTAATAGAAGCGAGTTTGGCCTAGGTGTTCCAACAACGCGGCAGTTGTCTCGATTGGTGCGTTCTGGGGCAATTTCTTTGGCAATTCTGACAAGAGTTTTTATAGAACCCTGCATCCGTCAGTTGCATTAGATTTGAATTGATTTCATTAACTCAAGGTACCTAGTAGGCTTTCAATTACTCGTTTTCCTGATTAGAAAACTTCTAGAAATTTTTATATTGTTGTACTATAAAAATCCTTCTTGCGTTGCATCCATCAATTGTATTGAATTTTGATTGAGGATACGTAGTGTAATGTTTGATCCAACGTACCTGTTGGATTCTTAATTATTTCAAAATTTTCTTGATTAGGAAATTTTCATGTCCAGCAATTTTTATATTCCGAAAAGAATTTTCATTATGGACTGTTATTCTGTGTACTCGTTCTTGCACTGCATTCGTCAATTGAATTATATTTTAATTGATTTAACTGATTTACTACTGAATTTTTAACTATCCCTGATTGGTATCTTTTTAATTATTTCTTGAGCACGAAATTTCTAGCAATCTTTGCGCGCTGATAATTGTAATTGTAAATGTCATTCGATGCTGGAGTAATATTTTTGTTCTTCGACGAATCCTTCCATTCGAGAACAAATGAAAATACTAGTGCAGGATTTCGAAGGAACACGTACTAAGATAGAAAGATACCCGTTTTATCGCAGAGGTGTAGACCGACGAACGGAGAAATAACATTCGAGAGAAACATGGCGCTCTCTCTCGTCTAATTGCTTCTTTATCTCATCGCTACAAGCGAAACACAAGTGGAACACGAGGTACGAGCCACAAACGACTATGAATACCATGTTAATAAAACGACGCGGAGTTCTCGATCTCCGGGACACTTCGTTGCATACCGGGTGTCCTCACAACTATCAATCAATCCTTTTCTACTTTCTAACAATTTTGTTTCCAGTTTATTATTCTCTATCGAAGAACATCACGTAATAATGAATAGAAAATAATGAAACAATGTCTTCAAGACGTTGCACCACAATTATACATAATTTACTACATAATGTAAATCAAATTGTGGGAAATCTTGTATCGTATCAAAAGCAAAACCTGTCTGCTAATTTATGTCTCGCGTATCTCCGCTGAAACACGAGAACTGTGTTAAAATTTCCTGAATAAACGCGAGATCACGTCCGATTCATCACGTTTCGCAACGATGCAAAATTCTTCTTCTACTCGAAAATAAATTTCCAAGCGAATCACGCGCGTGCCACGTAGAACTGGCGTTAATCTAGAGACACACGTAATTGAATTTCTTCGACATTTCTGTTTCCTTCTCTCCTATTTATTTTTTCTCTTTCTTCCCACTTTTTTTTCTGAGCATAAAAGAGAAACAAATTTGTGGTGTTTGGCACGCGAGAATTAACATGGCAAACGGTGAAATTTTCTCGTTGTCGCGCTCTTTGTAAATTCGTTTGGACGTCGGCGGAGTTTAAAAGCGCAGCGACATATGAAAAAAATGAAAAGCGTGACTGTTGTTGCACTTTACTCACGTTGCGACGAGCACGGCGACAAGTATTCTACAATAGAAAGTAGACTCACCTGCAACAGAAAGAACAAACTCGTGTGAAAATTATTGTCGTAACTTGTGGTACTTGTCAGTATTTTTAATAACAACACCAGCTTTTAATGGACGTTGCTCGATCAAAGAACGGAGCGCACCTCTTTCGAATTGTGAGAATTCTAACGAATGTTGTGCATTCTGTTTCAATAATTTCTAAATAAAACTAACGATACAATAACTATTCTCTTGCGAAACTTTCACTTTAAATTCTCGACTTAAACATTAAACGTTTAAACAGTGAAGCTAGTAAAAATTGCATTTGATAATCAATAAAACTTCTTTATCTTCTTCAAGTTCAATTCCCTTTAAACATCATTCTACTATCTACACATTTGAATACGTGTACGTGAAGATAATGAAGAAAATTTTTGTATTTTACTAAATTAAAATATACGTTTCAATTTTTATACTTTACTCGTTATATCCCATTTGTGTATTCAATTTTTATATTGCGTAAAAATTTCGAACACCGAAGATAAGAGTCTCGCCGAGAAACACGTAGAAATACGATTTTATCCAAACTTGACAGAGAACACCAAACTTTCGAACATATTGCCAGCCACGTTTTCATTCGGAGGCGAGTTGGAGGGATCGCAGCTACGTTATTTTTGCGAGGAATGCCTTTGAGACGAGCAAACGACTGGAAGATCTCACTCGGAAGAGCCTTGAACGAGCCACGATTCTAATTTTCGACGTGTCTTACCGGAAGGTGTAGGATAAATAGAAGAGAAGGAAAATAGAGCCGAAGCACCTAGGCCAGACTGAAATCGATACTCGGGAGAGAGGATTTCATCACCTCGTCTTAAAGCTCGATTCCATAGCTCGATCCTAGAGCTTCCGCGCCGTTTCATCGAGTCTTTCTCGCAAAGACGCCATTTTCGGAACCTTATTTTCAGATTATCAAAAATAGAACGAATCTCTTAATATCTGAAATTTGAATATCAATACTTGGACGCGATCTCTGTGCAGCAGTCTTAGAAACGATTATCTTCGAATTATTTGCAGTAACGCGGGAGTCGAAGAGTTTGACGATATTTGTGGTGACGCGCGAAAACTCTGTGATACGTCTTGTCAAATTTCAGAGATTTTTATTGACACTCACGTCACGATTTTGACAAGCATCACAATACATTGACAATTTCTCATACTTTCTCTCCCCTTATAAAGTTCTTCCTCCGTCGTCATTCTTATTTTTCTTTTCGTTTGCGACTTAACCTCTTGCGCTGGAATGACGTGCCACGCGCGTCGACAATTGTTTCTGTTCCAAAACTGTAATATTTACTCAGTGTTGAGTACATTTAAGTAAAACGAAATAGGCGAAACCGATAATAAATTTTGTTACTTCTCAATAATTTCTATCCAGTGACATCGTACCGACGAGTTCAAATAGAAAGCGACGAATTATTGTGTATACGGTTCGGTCACTCGTTATGGTCCGCAATCAGTTGCCAGCGCAAGTGATTGAAAGAAAGAAAAGAAAAAAAAAAAAACGGATAGATAAATTCGGAAACCAAAAGCTCAACAACCCGAGAAAATTCTCCCTCCACGGGAAGAAAAAAATAAATTGCGACGCACCTATACTAGCTTTTCGTTTTGATTGCATTGCCAGAGGAGCGGAATGATAACAGTACAATTAAACGTCGTCGTTGCAAACGAAGAACGCGCCATCGTCGAGTCGACGACGAGATAACAAACGATCCGGTCGGACTTGCAGTCCCCCTTCCCCCGAAGTTTCCCCGGACGTGGTAACACGTAGAGGCTACACGAGTCTGGCCAGATACACGGAGACAAACAGGCTGAAACGGATCCTACGTCTGACGAAAGTTTAAGAGGAAGGATTGGGGACAAGTGTATCCTACCTATCTTCCCTGGCTCGAGCATCGTTCTAAAACTCTCTCGACTTCCATTCTGGCTATCCTTGAACACTCTCGATCGTATCTCGATGGCACGAGCGAACGAGCGAACGTTAAACACCACGGATCCTCGTCGATTGGAGCAGCGTCTCATTATTAACTCGCGTTCAGCCACGTGTTTGACGTTTTCGTATGAATTTTGATTCGAATTTATCGCGTGTGATCGTTCGCATCGGCGAGTTTTCTCTTAATGACTTTCAATAACGTATTTGTTAATTGCTATAATCGTGAGTATTATCTCAAAAATTTTAATGTTTCTATCTTCACACGCTCTGAATAATCGTATTTTATTAAATTCTACAATAAACACGATAACTTTCTATTTCTCGCAGTTGTCACGATTTGAGAACGTAGAATCCGTAGGACAGTTTGGAATATTTATTTGAAATTTTGAAACTCGATCCTCCCCACCCCTAATTCCAAACGCATCACGTTTCACAAAAGATCGCATGTCCTAAATTTCTCTTCAATTTATTTCAATCTCTTCCAGATAAATGAAATAAAATTCGCGAGATCGACGAGAAACAAGGTGGCAAAAATCGGAAAGCGGTCCGAAAGCGATTGACGATGATTGACACAGATCGGTCCAACCTCGAAACAGGTGATAGGGGGGGAGGGAGGGGGGGGAGTGAAAATTCAATTTCGCTGCAGCCATCTGGCCGGAACGTGGCCAAGGGAGAAACTCGTTTTCTTTCGTCGAGGCGGTCTCTGCACTTTACAAAGAAACTCTCCAAGGATTGCTGCTAGTGTAGCAGCTATTTCCCTTTTTTTTCTTCTTCTTCTTCTCCTTTTTTATATTTACACGTATATACATAGACATAGAAAGCGGCACGCGTGCTTCAGCGACGATAGCTTCTTTGTGACAAGCATGTTTTATGCATTTAGCCGCTTTAGTCGACAGAGTTTATCGATTTCACGGTTACGGCGTATTATTGTTTGAAACTACGCGTTTCAACGTGGGGATTTATCGACTGATCGATTGGCGTCCCGAGATAAGTCGCCGTGATTCTCTTTTTTTCCCCACCTTTAGACGAAACTTTCTCTGGAAAAAAAGAGAGTTTGGAATCTTCGGGATTTATTTGTCATTTTTTTTTTTTTTTAAATTATCCCGAGAGTCTTATTCTCTCTCACTTCCGCTTCACAAAATCTACAAAAATTATCTCTGGCTGTTTGTCGAAGAACGTTAGCTTCCTCGTATCAAAAAAATTCTGCTCAACCCATTCCTGTGTCACCGTGTCCAGCGCAGTGTATTGAAACACCGATTATCGATCGTTTCACTTATTTTTAAAACGTTAAACGATGTCAAACAGTCTCAAACAGCGTTTCACCTCTCTTTTCTCTTCACGCGCTTCTGGACATCGGAACAGCGATTTACAATTTTACTCCGATTTTTCGACTGGCTCTCCGTTGGCCAATTCTTTTCGCGTTTCTTTATTGCTTTTTCCACGCTGGAACGAACATAACGTTCCCCATTTCTTTCGTTTCGTTTCGTTTCGTTTCGTTTCGTTTCGTTTCGTTTCGTTGATACAAAGCGAATCCAAGTCGACGGCCGAGCGTTTTTCAATTAATTCCTCTCTTTCCCAACGTCAAACGTCGTTCTCGATTTTCACTTCGAAGAATTCTGTTCCCGATCTTTGTTCGCAAAGGAGCAACTGATTCATAATAATCGGTGGGAAAATTTTCCATAACCCGCGCGCACGGTGTACTACGTCGGCGTGCGATTATCGTCAAACGGCGTGTGTTTATAGAACAGATTGTGTTAAACATAAGCAATATTTACCAGAGAGAGGAGCCAACGCTCACTCGGCAAGTGAGAAAGAAGAATTTACGAGAATCGATAGTTCCATTATCGAGGGAACTTCGAGCCGAGCTCTTCCAGAAAAAGAATTTCCAACCGCGTCCTTTCACATTTCTTGTCATCCTCTTGTCTAACGATAACAAGCGCTTCGGTATTTAAGAATCTGGTAATTACCAACCCGACGCATCGATAAATTGAAACGAAGAGCGATATATTTACAACAAGAGGATTTTATTTTCTATCGCCCCTCTGAACCAATAAACTTCAGTTTAAAGTCTATACCTGTCGTTACTACCTCGTTATTCGCGTAAGAGAAGCTGAAAAGTTCAAAGATTGCACGGAAGTTTAAAAAAGTATTATTACAGCGTAAAGTTCGATGTTACTGTATCGTAATAAGTTTCGTTCGCTTTTATTTTCGTAGACGATTGAAGATATATTCAAGTGTTGGAAAATTACACAGGAAATGAAACACGAGATGCGACGCTCGCTGTTATTAATTCGAAAACCACGTGCAAATCATTTGCGTGAAGCTACGCGCGAGATCAAACAGAAGTCGATCAGAGAATAAATCGCAGAGATCGTAGATAATGGATGAAAATCTTCTTCGTCATCAAACGAGGCGGAAGCTCTCGTTAATAATCGCTTTTGTTTCAACACGTATCGAACGGCCCCGTCTATTAAGTTCGTCTGTATACGGATTTTGATGAAGCCTGACAAGATTCGCTGACAATTCCATTACTATCGACGAATCAAACGCGCGACGAGTCGAAATTAATTGCCTCGTTCGCGCGTACTAATGACGATTTAACCTCGACCAGGCTTGCCAACTCTCTCTGTACCTCGTTTCAAAAACCATCCCAGCCAATCCTAGTAACAATATCGTTCCGACGTAATTTGTTTCATAATTTCGTAATTTATTTCATTTAGAATCTCTTAAAGGTCCAAACTTAGATTAGATCAGATCACATTGGAAATCTTAACTTTCTTTTTTTTTTTTCGAATTAATCGCAAGTTGGATTGTCCCGAGTTGGAAATTTCTGTTTCTTATCGTCCGTTTTGCCGATTCTTTTCATTTCATTACTTCTCCTCTGTATGAATTAATTATTCGAATCTTGAGTCGAATATTCAACGTCTTTTAATAATAATTACTTATCTATAACTCTGAATGGTCTCTTGGGTTTAAACATTTTAACATTTACGAGAGAGGAATTAAATAAGTAGCTCTCTGTCGTTAATGGAAAGCTGTTAAACTTTGCTCTTCTTTTTT